GACGCACATTTTATGGTCAGTCGACACCTCAAAATGGTGTTTGGCACCATCTAGAAAATGGCGCCAGGTTGATAAAGCCAAAGGAACAGCAAAAGCCTCTTTCTCCCAAATAGCCCAACATCTTTCTGTGTCGGTCAGTTTGCAAGAGGTGTAAGCGCAGGGTTGTAATTTACCTTGGCTATTTGCTTGAAGTAGTACAGTTCCCACTGCTACATCACTGGCGTCAGCCTGGACCACAAAATGTGCGTCCATGTCAGGGTGTTTGAGGATCGGTTCCTTCGCAAAGAGGCGTTTCAACTTCTCAAAAGCAGCTCCCCTCCCCGTTTCAATGGCAGCCGAAGCAGCAGCAAAGCAGAGGCTGACACTTGCTCTTTCAGCTTTCACTTCCATGTTATAAAAAGTCCACTTCCATTTAATGCTTGATCATTCTTTTCAGCATTGGATCAATTATTTTATCAATTATTTTTTCATCATTACTATGCCAAAAATTTTATATAAATAATTGCAGTTTATGTCAAAAATATTAGATCTTATACAATTTATTTGCTATAAAATGTCATTGACTAGCATCCTCTACATCAGTTTGGTCTGTTAATACATTCATTCCACTAGATATGATAAATCAAATTTTGCTATTTACTTTCAGGATGTGTGTGTGTGTGTGTGTATGCATGTATGTATAAAATTGTTTTATGATGATCTAGCAATACATTAAAAAAAAAAACAATTTACAGTATTTAAGGAAAGTATTTCAGTAAGCATTTAAGTAAGTAAAGATTACTGATTTTTCTTCCCTAAACATGGTGATAAGCTTTTGCTCCATTCTTTCCCAAATCCATCTTGGATTGTTTTCCAATTTTCTTCATATATAGGTGACATACTATAGCAATGCTGATTTTCTGAATTTTTCATATCACTAAAGCATAACATTTTTAAGCTGAGGGATATATTTAGTGTCCAAAGGTTTGCGAAGTCCATATTAAAAATATGGTAGACCAAAACAAAAATTAAATGACAATTTAGTTTAAATAAAAAGAAATATATACATCATACATGATTACTTCCCTGTGTTTAATTAGTTTCTTCTCTATTATATTAAAGCATTACATTTTTGATACACTAGGTAGACTTCAGCAAACACTTATAAAAGCTTTATACAGTCATAGTGTAATCTTTCAGCTCAAAATAACAACAAATCTTGGCTCTCCAGATTTCAAAGCTTTTTTTTTCAACATTAGTTTAGTCTGTGATAGAATCTTGGACACAACTCAGGGACTCAACTCATATTTTTATGAAGATAAAATTTATTGAAGACAAAAATGAAGCAAACTATTATAGAAGATCTGCCTACTGCAGTATATAGGAATCAGAGCTTATGTATGTTAATATTCCAAGAAAAAAATATATTCTTCCTCCTGCCATTCTGAGTTAAGTTACATATACTGTATATAACATAGATGATAGATAGATATAGATGACAGATAGATGATAGATAGATAGATGATAGATAGATAGATAGATAGATAGATAGATAGATAGATAGATAGATAGATGATAGATAGATGA